CAGTGTAAATCTGGCCCATAGTAAAGATGACATGTGATAAAAGATATTTTATTGTAAAACCTAGATTTTCAATAAATATTCTGACCTTACAAGCCTGGCTGTAAATCCTTTTAAGTAACTATGCGTAGCTTAGGCATGTTAAATATAGTCAAATACGTTTAAAAAATCCTCTAGAAACTTTTGTTCTAGGCCACAAGAAGCCTATTTGTGGATGGAAGCACAGATAGAAAACAAAGTATAGTAAAATGAACCACAGGGTTTTAAATCTCTTGTGATGATAAGAACATCAATTAATGAATTGGTATATCAGTGTTTTCTTTAATAAATGAGGATCACGAAGGGTCCTTGGAAAAACTAAGAGTTTTTCTTATAAAGTTCCTGTGCTCTCAACCAGCTCTTTAGTTCCTCTTCCTCCACATAATTCTCCCAAACTGAGAGCATGCAGGATCAGCAAGAGAGCAATTTAAAGCTAAACCACACCGTGCTCCTCTTCCATAAGCATATACATTTTTAAAGAGACATATGTTAGGAGAATAACCCAAGGGAATGGATTTTTGCTGGTGAAACTTTAGGCATTATGATACCTGGGCCAAGGAGCTATTTTTGGATAATGAGGTCTGGTATTCATTATATTTTGCTCTTTAAGTGACTATCTGTCTATAAATATTGGTTGATGTATGGATGGCAATTGTGCACAACTTCCTTTCCAGGAATACTCCCATAGGTTAAAACATTTAAGAAATTTTTTGACTCTGAAAGAAAATATAAATTTAAAATTCTATTATTAGAAATAGTATATGGCCTCTCTCCACTATTACTGAAGATTTCAGGAATTTTAAATGTAATTAAACTTAATGGAAGTTGGTGGTTAGACCAAGAGTTAAAAGCTGATCACTAGGAAGTAAGTTCCCAACTCTGAGGGGAGTGTGGGGAGTGGAGGTGCCAGTGAGGGGAGGGGGCATGAAGGGTCATAGTTTTCAATGAAATTGGTAAGCTGTGGGTACTGGAGTGGAATAAAAATTTTGAATCTAGGACTTAACGCAGATCCTAGCACACCTGAAGTTTTCATGTGCCTTCCTGACCGGCCTGCTTTTGCTTTGTTCGTCATTCTAGCACACTATTAAATTGTTCTAGTTCATTCGTTTATAAGCATTTATGGAGCGTGTACTTTACAGAGGCATTTGGAGGAGACGGGAATAAAAAGATGAACAGAACACTGCCCATGTCTTGGGAAAGCTCGGTAATGGGTAATTTAGCAGGGGGTGAAACAGACAGAAAACAGATATAAGAATGGTGATTACACAGAGATGACTGAGACCTCTAATAAAGGTATGGACTAAGTACTATGACCACGACAAAGAATACAAAACTAAAGAAACATTTTAGGGGTAACATCTAGACTGGACTTCAATGAGCAACAAAAATTTGACTAGGTCCTAAAAGGGGGGAACATGTTCTGAAAAGAAACAGCATGTGCAGAGATGGTGGGGGTCTCGGGAGGAAACGGTGCCGGACAGACGGGGGACAGCCGCTGACAGGCCTCACGCGTCATGCTAGGTTGTTTACGCTTTAACTTGCAGGGGAGGAAGAGCCTCTGCAGGTTTTAAACAGGGAAGTAACATAAGTTTTAGTTTTAGTTTTAGAAAAGCCAACTCTAGTGGCAGCCAGGAAGATAAACTTGAGAACTACAGGCAGGCAAACAAGTTTTCTGAGTGTTCCAATAGCCTAGGTGGTGACGCTGAGGCCTAAATCAACGCAGTCAGCGAGTGAGGGTGGGTGGAGAGAGTCGGCAGGTGCTTAAGCAGTGGACAAAGCAGAGGCTGATGGCTGAGCGAATGCAAATGGTACAAAAGAGTGAGGGGACAGGACAGCACTGGCACTGCTGCAAACCATTAACGAGGCAGGAAACACAGGACGGGGAGGGCTTCATTTTCCAGGGAGTAATTCTCAGCAAAAATACTGTGACAGCACAGAAGAGAGTCACTTAACTTTCTAGGAAGTTGGAGAAGACTCTGTAGAGAAGAGAAAACTGAACTAGTCTTGCTGGTTTGATCAACTGATACTAATAATATAAAAGAATGCTTATAATAGTAAGTTAACTGGTATTTTACATGCATTTTACATGCTATCCAGTTTATTCCTCACGCTAATCTTGCCTGTGAGGCCAGTGTTACTGTCCGAATCTTCTAACTTAGGATCTTTTGCTTCTAGGGTTGAGTAATTTGCCCTCGATCTCACAGGAAATAAGCAGAAAAGCAGGGATTCAAACACAGGTCTGTCTGACTAGACTGCAAAGCCTGCCTCTGTCCTCCGTGCTGCACTGGATCTCATAGGATGGCTAAGCTTCTCACGGGGGAGAAGAGCAGAAGCTCCCAGCAGGGGAACCAGCGCATATAAAGGCATCAGTCCTGGAAGGACAGAGCCCTTCTAAGGAGTGCGCGCACTGGGGAGTAAAATGATGAGAGGAGGGAGTCTGTAACAAGCCTAGTTCTAAAAGCATTACAGACATTATCTCATATGATTCTCTTTTTTCTCATTTCACAATTTATTATTTTTTTCCTTTTTATTGAATTTACTGGGGTGACACTGATTAACAAAATTATACAGGTTTCAGACACACAATTCCACACACATCATCTGTACATTGTCTTGTGTGCCCATCACCTCAAGTCAAGACTACAGCCATCACCATTTACTATGAAGCAGGACTATTACTGTCCATGAAGGAACAGTGTTTTGAAATAAAATGTCAAAGTTCATATACATACACATTCTGAATCTGAAGGCTGAGTTTTTGAACCACTATGCTGTGTTGCCGAAGATATATGGCCATCTTTTCTTATTTTTTACCATGATCATATATTACTTTTATAGTAAAACTATAATTAGAAGTGGGGCATTGAATTTAACAGTTAGGAAATTACCGGTAATCTTAAGAACAATCCCAGTACAGGAGCTAGTCATTGTGTATTGAGTAGCAGAGGAGTAAATGAGAATGGAAAAATTCGAGGCAGTGAATATAGATCAGTTATTCAAGAAATTTGGTTGTGACAGGAGAAGGGGAAACATGAACATTTTAGTTTGAATTGTAATGATTGCCTGGAATACTGGCATATTTACAAAGAACCTTCAAAAATAACTGCTAATAAGAGAAATTTAAGATTGGCTAGAGAATACTAATATCATCTAACAAAGTCATATAAATTGGTTTCCTGGAAGGTTACCCTCTTAAATCCAATAAAACAGGCCGATGTTCACATTAACTGCAATGAAGATACACTGCCCAATTGAGGGTAATTAAAAGTGAAATATAGTGGATTGAATGTGAAAAGGAAAGCCTGACAATATTTCATCTAAGTCTTATTGCTAGAAGTCGGAATAAAAGATTAAACATTTAAATTAAAATTACTTAACATTTAATCTCATAAATGACATAATTGTTGCATTTAACCTCTGTTCATGAATTGATGCAGTTCCACTAAAAAGTTTTGATCTGTTGTGATTAAATGTGAAGAATAGGGCAATATAGTGTGCTTTTCAAAAGGTTAAACTTATTCAATTTAAAGCATTATCTGACATGATGTTATTTCTACTTCTTGGTGTACAAAGTTATTTCTTTAAAAATTATAATGATAGTTGATGAGATCTAGAAAGTAAAAGGTTGATGTGGTAACATTTCCAAAGAACTTTTTAGAAATATAATTGTTCTCTGGGAAACACTTGTAGGGAATTTTAGCTATGTATAGAAATTAAAAGATTATGTATAAAGAATTACACAAAACTGTAAAAATAATTACACTTGAAATTTGTAATTATTTGTAAATTTTAAGCAAATAGAGCTAAATCAGATCCTATCAAAAGTTACTGATTTATATTTTACATGAGGTAAAATCTACCTATGTCTTGGTGTTTGTAGAATATTAATGCACATTGTGAATAATTGATACAGTTTCTGACTGAATATAAGACCAATAATTAAATCTATAAAAATATAATACCATAAATCACAAGTCTCAAGGCACACTGATACACAGATTAATATGTGTAATTCCTAATCTGTTTTAAAATGGTCTTGACCAGAGATTTACCTGACCTTGGGCTAGTACTCAAAACATAATTTCAGGAATGTTGGGGAAATGGTTGAGATGATTTATTTTCAAATAAAAAGTGGTGAGAAATAAGTAACCTTGAAGTTAGCACTAATTCTTCATACGGTGAAACTAAAAAAAGTTGTTAAGGAAAAAGGTTTGTCTTAGAAATTGAAGGTGATTGGGTATATGAATGATGTAATGCTATTAACAATACATAGGGAAGGGCTCAGTTAGAATGACAAATTCTATTACATTAAAGCTGTGTTCGAAATTCTCCTACAATGTTCAAGTCCCATAGGTTACCAGGTGACTTCTTTGTCTGATAAATTTTTTGTTAACATTTTGCTGGCTATCATAAGGACTGACTTATTATGCAACTTTATTTAAATTTTAATAAAAATGCAAAGATCATTGAAAATTAACAAATATAATTACGCACTGTGAAAAGCTGTACTGAATACTTCTGAAGAACACTACACTGAAAATCAATTACACTGCACCTCATTCTGTGTGTTCAGGGGTCTCAGATTACAAAGTCACAGATGATCTGAATTCAAGCAGGATTATTGTGAAGCTAAATGAGTCAAGTTGGAAATTTGCCTCCTCCCCTTGCTAATAACTTTATTACTTATGAAATGATTTTAATAGTATGGGCTCCATAAACTGATGAAGATCAGATATCACATAAAAATGGCTTGCCCTAAACAGTAACCAAGATTCCAAACTAAATGTTTTTTTGATCCCAAATGTGGTTATGATAGGCAGTCAAAAAAAGTTCATTTGGCTCAATGAACTTTTGTCTTAAAGTATTAGTAGCGTGAATGATAAATAATATATTATTTAGTTGCTAAAAGAAAGTGTTTTTGTTTTGCCCATGCTTTTGAAATAGTGCGAGATCATTTTACTCACTTCTGGACCTTGTCATTGGCCGCCTGCGAGGCCTCCAGGGCGTGCTGAAGCTCTAAGTCCATGTTTGCTCGGTCTGCCAGGGCTTGCTGCAGTTGGGAAGCCAGTTCCTCATTTTGTTGCTGAGTGATCGAAACAATGTTCTCTCTATTCTTTAAGGCTTCTTCATAGGTACTAAGGGTATGGTTAAACTGATCCTTCAGATTTTCTTCTTGGGATAAAGATTTGTGCAAACTGACAAAATACAAAAATAAATAATTTAAACATAAATATGTAGGCTGACTGACCAGTAAGCCATTCAACAAAAATCTCCAGTTGGAAATATACATTTCTAAAAATCAATAAAGACATACTTAGATGAGTAAATGAAAATAAGTTTTACATCACAATATTACATTGATAATTATTTCTCTGCTTCTAGGCTGAAAGCTACGCAGACAAATGATTATCCACGCGATCAAGACATACAAAAAGATGCTGCAAGATGTAAATTGAATTATATCAGTGTAAATATTACATTCAATTTTCTTTAAAAGGAATAGCAGAAACTTGAAAAATAAAGTATCTTTAGGCGACTATAAGAATACAATAAGCCGACTGCAAAGAAGTGAGACGTAAGAGTGGGCATCATCAGTTTAGCAGATCCAGGGTCTATTGGGCTGAGCACTTAATGAGAATGAATGAAGTTTGTACAAATACCAATCAGCCTCATATAAAGCATTTTCTACTTGTCATAGCTGAGATATGAAAGAAGTTAAAATCAGTCAGACTGCACAGAAATAATATGTATTCGGATATATTTTCTTTTCGTTAATGGATCTTATGCCAAATACAGCCATTCATTAAGTTACACAGAGAAATAGCATATAAATTAAGACAGAATGCAGAAGAAAATGCAGACAAATAGAATCCTAAAATGCTAAAGGTCAAATCTTTGATATGTCATTACACCTACCACCTGAGGTTATTTTGAAATGGCACCAAGCACCTCACTCAATTAAATAAGGACATTTTGAAAATATAAATATTTAATAAGGGAAATTTAAAATCCACACAGGAGATGTTCTTTTTTATTAAATAAAATCATTTCAGTATATGCATACAAAAGAAATGTCGACAGGAGACTTAAAGTAAAACAATCTAACTGTATAATACAGATTGATAATGTAAAAGAAAGTAATATAATTCTTGAAGCTGCAAAAAGCTAGTCGGGGAACTTTCAGCACCGGCCGAATATCTCGTCTAATACTTTATTTAAAACTCTTCAAACTAAAGTAATTATAAATTTCTTCCTTTTGTTTAAGTAACTGGCAAGCCTCTCCAGTGCGCTCACTGTGGAGAAGGTGTCACACAGATGTCAGGACCTGAAACAGGGACAGTTAGAATTCCAAAAGAAATCATTTCAGGACTCAAATTAGTTCTTAAGAAGAAAGACTGCTGCTACTGTGGTCAACTGATTACTGCATGTAAAACAAGAATGGTGAAGAGTGCCACATTTGTAGAGTGTAAAAAATTGCCTTTACAGTTTTCACCTTATTTATCTCTTATTTCATTCTTCTCAGTTCTATCGACCCACACGTCTAAAGACACTCGTCCCCTGTCCATTTTCCCCTGCTATGTTCTTTCGCACTTTTTGCATCCTTCCTATTCCAACCTCAATTTCCTTCAGCCCACCTCTTTGTCTATTTGAAAGGTCCAAGAAAAAGAGAAACTAAACCCAAACAAAACAAAAAGCCTTGAGAAAGACAAGTCTGTTTATGTTTTTTAACCTTTAAAATATTATTACTTATATTTTAATTGTTAATTATATTTTAAATTACATAAAAGGCACAAATTTAAAGTATTCAGCTTGACAAAATGTAAAGAACAAAACACAGAACAAACCCACAAGAAGGCTGGCTCCCAGGGTTCCCTCCTAGTTGATTCCCCTCCCCCAATGTAATCACCAGTCCAACCTCTATTAAGATTAGTATTGCCTGTTTCTGAACTTTTGTCTGGCTTCTTCGATTAACATAAGGTTTATGAGATTCATCCTGTAGTTGCATGTAGTTTATTATTTTTTATTGCTATGAAGTATTCTCATATAAATAACCCAGAAATTATTTAACCATTTCACTATTGTTGCTATTAATATTCTCGTAAATGTCTTTTGATGGACCTAAGTACTCATTTTCCCCCAGTTTTATTGAGATATAATTGGTATAAGTACTCATTCCTGGAAAAGAATTTATCCATATGGTGTATGTATGTATATTTAGATTTAGTAGATGCTGCATATAGTTTCCCGAAGTGGTTGTACCAATTTACACTCCCCTCAGCAACGTAGGAGTTCCAGTTCAAACATACTCCCTTAGAGTGGGATTGCTGGTCTTTTTAGCTTTAGCCATTCTAATAGGGCTACAATGATGTTTCATTCTCTTTATGTTTTCTTTTGATGAATGTGATTTCTTAATTTTAATGAAGTCCCATTTATCATTGTTTCTTTAATGGTACTGCTTTGTGTGTCCTATTTAAAAAATCTTAGCCTACTCCATTTCTTTATATTTTAATCTTACATACATGATCTCACTTAAAACTCACAGTGGACCATCTTAGTTTGGGAATTCTGCATTTGTCTATATCTAAAACACTATTCAGTATGCTCTAACCAATTAAATATTAAGAATCAATAATTCAGCTTTTAAAATCTCATGATTAAGATCATGATATCCTGACTTAGTTCCTTAGTTCACCTCCTAGTCTTCTATCACTTAATCTAATATTTTTGGCAAATTTATACGTGATTATGATTTTTCTCTCAGATGAACCTGTGACTTTAATGCTCAAAAGCTACTCATCATTCAAAATGCCTTGGAAATCTTTAAATTCCCATCAAGACTTTTGCAAATAGAAGCAGTAGCTGGAGTAATCTCTTAAAAGATAAATTAGGTAATGCCACTTAGAATTCTGCAATAGCATCATATTGCACTCAGAATGAGTCTCTAAAAATCATAACAACAAATTACATATTTTAACTCAACCTCACAACCTATGAGAAGTCCTGTCAATATTTTTTTTTTTTTTTGACTACGAGTTGAAACAAATAGAGGTAAGTAATTTAACTAACCTCACACACCTAGCAGAGTCAGAATTGGAACCCACAGCCTTTCTCCCTGGGCCAGGCCACTTCTCACTACTTGCCATGAGCCAGGAAGCCCTGCAGCACCTGTACCTCCTCACTTTTTAGCCAGACATTACGTTTCTCAAGCACACCAAGCTTTTTTCTGCTTGAGGCATTTGTTCAGTGCCTTTCCCTCTTCCACAAGGTCTCAGCACAAATACTGTTTTCTCAGATAAACCTTTTATGACTATTAAATATAAATTTTGACGTTCCCTCTTTGTTACTGTCTCCTTAACCCTAATCTTTTTCTTCTTAGAACTTATAATAATTTGTAGTTTTTTTTAGTTTCAGCTTGTGATTTACTCCCCAACTCCAACATATTAATACTCCATTATATTTTTTACACAGGGCAATTATACTTTATGGAAAAAACTTGTTCCTTAAGAACTTCAATAAGTCAAAATGTATATAATTATAAAGACCTTTACCTACAAAAATCAGATGAAGTACAGGTGCTATGTTCCCAGCACACATAAATCTATAATCTCTGAAGCACCCTTTTGTTTTCGTGCTGTTTTCCCCTTCAGAGTTCTCTTCCCTAAACTGACAATAGGGCCACACTGTTTAGCTTTCTTCACTGAGTAATAGCACATTTAACTTCTTGTCAAAGGTGTTGATCTTCAGGTGCATTTTCAGCATGATAGCAGCATTAAATTTACTGGCGCTTCAATAACATTGTACGGGGAAATATTCTAAGTTACAGTAAGAATCATGATAAAACAACAACAGAATAGCCGTTAAATCTCTCTCGGAATTTCCTAAGCATGTAACCAATAGCGTGGCTCACAAAAACTGACACAGGGTGGCAACCCCCTGGTTATCATGAAGGTAAAGAGGTAATATCATAAGTGTCAATTCACTCTTCTAGTTTTAAAGGTTTGTGATTCTTAATAAATTGAACTTTTCTACTTTAGTGTAGAAAGTCAGACTTTAAAACTATTTTTGCTTAGTACTTTCATGTTATCATAGTTCCAACCCACAGCAAATGAGACTGCACATCACTCCTGCGCTGCTCACGGCACTGGGCCCAAGAGCAGGCGGGGCAGGAAACGCCCTTCAGCGGGCACTGTGCCAGCAAGTGGCCTGTGACAGATTTCCTTTCCGAAGTGGCTCTGCCTTCACTTCAGTGTCTTCTAGTCTATACCCTCATGTCTGTGGTCTTAACTATTTTTCTGGTCCCTGAGTCTTTGTACCACCTCAGCTTAAAATACCTTGGGATTTTCGGGTTTATGACTCACTTTAATGTTTTGCTTGCAGATATTTATTTACATTCTCCTCAGCTTGTCTGCTAACCAGTTTCTCTCTCAATTGTAATGTCACACATGAATTCAGCTTATTCTTGCAACTAGTACTTTTCCATTCATACCAAGTTTTGATGTTACTTTTCCTGGCTTCCTCTCTTGTCTCCATGATCAGATATTACTTAAGTCCTTGCATGAGATCACTTTACTCCCATCTTACAATATGCACCTACTCTTCTGCTTATGTTTCATTTATTTATAGTAGCTGCTCAATCAATAGTTTGTCCATATATACTGTTTTTAAAAATGGAATGAATATTTTTGCATTAAAAATTTAGAGGTAAGCTACCACAGTATATACCAGTGATTTTCAACCTTTTTCATCACATGGCACACATAAACTAATTACTAAAATTCCGTGGCACACCAAAAAAATACATGTTTTGCCCATCTAACAACAATAAAAAGGTATAATATTGATTCACTCACACCAGATGGCTATTGTTGTGTTGGCTGTTGTCATTTTTTTATTTGACAGTCTAAGGGAAAAGAAGCCAGTGTCCCTGACTAAATAGTCGGGTATTGCATGTTTTAAAAATTCTTGTGGCACACCAGTTGAAAATCACTGCTATAGACCAATAGTTATTAACTAGGAGTATTTTGTCCCTCAAGGGACATTTTGTAACATCTGGAGCTATTTTGGTTGTCACAAATGGAGGTGGAGATGCTGCTAGCACTTAGTGGGTAGAGGCCAGAGATGCTGTTAAACATCCTGCAATGCAGAGGATTCTCCAGTCCAGTATGTCAACAATGCCAAACCTGGTGCAGATGAA